CGCGATGCTGTGGGAGTAGCAGGAGAGGGCGTCCTCAAAGCGACCGCCCTTGAAATGCTCGTTGCCCTGATGATGAGCACACACGCACACATGCACACACGCACACAAGGATATACACACACACGTGTGGAAGGAAGCACAGAAGCAGAATGGGTTGGGAAGACCTCAGGCCTCAAGAGGACAGCGGTGGGACAGCAGTGGGATGGGATGCAGGGCGATGGTCTGGGAGTAGCACGAGAGGGCGTCCTCGAAGCGACCGGCCTTGAAATGCTCGTTGCCCTGATGGGAGCAGGCAAGCACAGACTCAGGGATGTGGGAAAGCAGATGGGCAGAGTCAGTTTGGGCAGATGGGCAGAGTCAGTTTGGGGTTTGAAACACCGGAGAGCGACAGTGGTGGGATAACCGGGATAGAGAGCGATTCCCTGAGAGTGACATGATAGGGCCTCCAAGGTGACTTTTGAGTCGACTCAAAAGCCACCTCAATTCTCTGAGAGTGACATGATGGGGCCACTGGAGAGCGACAGTGGTGGGGTAACCGGGATAGACTCTTGAGTCGACTCAAAAGTCTTACCAATTTCGAATCTTAGCTCCAATTCCCCCATCTTCCATCTCCCTCCCGATCCCGTGCATCGCTCTCCTTTTCCCACTCCCTTCCCTCCTCTCCCCACTCACCCTCTCCTTCTCAGTTACTTCCATCCCTCCCCACCGGCCCCCACACCTCCAATCCCGCCTCCATCCCCCTCCCTCCCAATCGCCCACCTCCATCCCCATCACTCACCTCTCTCCCATCCCCATCACTCACCTCTCTCCCATCCCCATCACTCACCTCTCTCCCATCCCCATCACTCACCTCTCTCCCATCCCCATCACTCACCTCTCTCCCATCCCCATCACTCACCTCTCTCCCATCCCCATCACTCACCTCTCTCCCATCCCCATCACTCACCTCTCTCCCATCCCCATCACTCACTCCATTCCTCCCCACTCACCCTTTCCTTCTCTGCTGCAGCAGCTGCCTCCATCCCTCCTCTCCCTGCCCCCACACCCCCAAACTCGTCTCCATCCCCCTCCCTCCCAGCATCCGCTGCTGCTGCCAGTCTGCCAATCAGCTCTGCAGCCCCCCCTGCTTCCCCAACCGCCCCTGCTCCTCCCCCTTCTCTTGTTGCTTTTGATTCCGCTCCTCTTGCTGCTCCATCTGCTCCCCCACCTGCTGCCCCGCCTGATGCTGCTCTTGTTCCTCTGGCTTGGCCTGATGGTTTCTTGCTACCGCCACCCAAGAAACCGACGTTCCAGCCTGGTGCTGATGTGGACGGCTCGGCGTTGACCTGGCAGTGAGTGAGAGATGCGAGGCGAGGAGTTGCGAGAAATTTTTTTAGTTCTTGAAAAGAAGGGGGATTTAGTCAAGTCTCTGGTTGAATGCCAAGGTTTGAGATTTGGAATTCGGGTTAAAGGTGAAGGTTCAGGGTTTTTTTAGTGCAGGGAAAGCGGGAGTGTAGTGCAGTTTAGTACAGTTGAGGTTTTGGGTTTATATTACTGGAGGTAAGAGAAGACTCGTGAAAGAAGGAGTGTTTTGAGACGTCTCAAAACACTCCTTCTTTCACCTGGAGGTAAGAGAAGACTCTGCTGCACTGTGAAACCCCCCACACAGACCATCATAACACCACACAGCACACACACCGCACTGCACCACACTGCACCGACTTTCCAACTGCACGCCCCCCTCCTCCACCCCACTCTCCCCCATCCTTCTTCCTTTTCCCTTCTCCTTAGCAACCACAACCAACACACTGGAGTAGGAAATTCGAGGCGTCTTGAAACCCACCTCCCATACCCCCCCCTCTTCCCTTCTCCAAATAACCAACTTGCTCAACTCAACAATAACCAGCGCACAGGAGGGTGGGGGGCGGAAAATGCGATCCCCTTGGCCAACTATAACCAGCGCACAGGAGGGAGAGGGATTCAACGTCCAAACTCTTGAGAGAAATCCGCTGTGCTCACCTCTTCCCTTCACGATGCTTACCCCTGGCCAATAAATCCCCTTTCCCCGAACGGTTCACCCCCTCCCTCCCCCTTCCCCCTCCCTCCCCCTTCTCCCTCCCTCCCCCTTCCCCCACCCTCCCCCTTCCCCCTCCCTCCCCCTTTCCTTTCCCCCCCCAGCCACGCACAAAACACAGCCCCCTACCCCACTTGGACCAACCCCCCTATTCCCTCCCTTCCCCATGCTACCACCGTTTTCAGCTATGGCCAGCTCACAGGAGGGGGGGGCGGAACCCAATGCTCTCGAAAGTAGTCCACTGTGTGCTTGATCGTCCGCCCTTCTCCTGATGCTGCAGATGATGATGATGGTGATGGAGCTGGTGCTGCTGGTGCTGCTGATGTGGCTTGTGCTGACGTGTTATTCGCGCTGCTGAGTTGGGACTTGGCTTTCTTCTTTGCAGCTGCTGACGTGCCGTCCTGACAGTAGCAACATGATGCATCCATGCACCCATGCGTGCATGGCCCCATATATCATCCACATGGCAGCATCATGCATATGCACATGCATGTAGGCATGCACATGCATGTAGGCATCCATGCACCCACATATCATCCACATGGCAGCAAGCAACATGCACAGGGAACGGAGGGAAGTCGAAACGCGATATCGTGAGAGCTGTTACCCTCAAATGGCTGTGCGCTGGAAATGCATGCATCGCTTTTCCGGTTTCCAAAAAATGATACGATAATCATACCCTCGCAGCTTCCCTCTTCTCAGCCTACCCTTCAACATCGCATGATAGATATATCAAGGCAAGACGGGCCCTCTCCTACCTTTGCTTTCCCGCCCTCTTTATCCGTCTTCCTTCCCTTCCCGGACTCGCGCCCCTCTCGGCTTCTACCCCGGCCTCCGCCGCCCGGCCGCGCCGCCTCTGCTAGCTGTTGCCAGCTGTCGAGATCGCGGAGCAGATCCGCCATGCTGACGTCGTCACTGACGTCACTGACGGCACTGGGGTCACTACCGGGGTCTCTCTAGCCGTTTTTCGCGTGCTGTCGTGGAGGAATTTCGACGAAACTTGGGGTTACTAGTGGTGGTTACGCTACAGTAATGTGAACAAATCACACTCCGGATTGCCCTGGATCGGTGATATGCCTCACTTTCAATTAACGGGTGGAATAACTGTGCGACGAGGAGGGCGATTAAGGGGGAGCGAGAGCGACGGGCAGGGGAAGTTAGGAGGGCGTGGAGGCGAGATGGACGCTCGACAGGCGCTCGACAGACAAGAGAGTGACAGGAGAAATTGAGCGAAGAGAGTTCGCCACAGGAGTGGGTAACAAGTGACGACAGATAGGTTGGGTGTTTGGCTGCGACGAGAGCAGGTCGTGAGTTTCACGCCCGACAATCCCAACACAAAATTCGCTACAAGTGACCCTCTTTCCCGTTTCTAACTTATGCGTAGTGCCATGTATCTAAACCACGCCATGACAAGCTCAAGGCCACTTTGGCTTCTGTCAAGGACTACGACGTGTATCAAAATATTATTCTTTTTCTTTAAATGTTTTATTTATTACAAATTCTAATGTTTTTAGAGAGAGCTGTCGTTATCAGACTACTTCTCTCATGAATCTATGATCGAATACATACGCGGGTCTGGTTTATTCGGAGGTGTAGGCGATTCTGGAGGTTTGTGTTCAAAAGCGTATGACGTGTTCGTGATTTGTTCATGGTTGCTGCTCTGTGATGCACCGAGAATCTTCGGGGCGTAAAATTTGGAAATTTTGTTGTCGGCTTGACGGGGGAAAAGAGTCCCTCCATTGGTTGAACGGCTGATCAGGGGGTACGAGCGCGTCAGAGGGGCAAAATTTGCATTCAAAAATTGCGGGAAATCACTCCCTCGCTGGTTTTCATTGCCACCTCGCGCAATCATTCACCCTTTGGGACCAGCCTACACAGTCCTCAACAGTGCCATCGAGGCGTCTAGACAAACCCCCTACGAGCTTACGATAGGGGTGCTTGTGTAAATGGGCGCGAAACACGATCCCGCTTATTTCTAGTCGCCTCACTGGATGGCCGATGAGAGTCAGCGGAAAACGCGAATGCAGATTTCCTCTCACCCGAGCGACCCGAACCAGTCTTGCGTTGTCGTACGGAGCCGCGCTGTCTGTGTCTTGGTGGTAGGCTTGGATGCCGAACCAGAACTTAACAGAAGCGAACCCAGACATTTTGTCTGGGTGCTTTCCCAGGGCTTGCTTGATCTGGCTCGTCATTCTTTCTGGCAGCAAGTGCACGACGGAGAGCTCAGGCAGCCCCCTCGGGTGCTGCGTCGCAGCGCACTGCTTCGCACGCGTCGTTCGCCTCCTCCAGCATCAGAGATCCGAGCCTAGACGAGGTGTGGGTGTGGAACCACACCTGCCCAGGCCAGACCAATCACTTCCCAGTGCCCACGTACCCCCTTCCTGCAGCCAAGGCCTTCCATAAATCTTCGAGGCCGAACCAATTTCTCCGTCACGATTCACTTTTCTCGCTCTTGCCCACCACATCTGAGCACTACCTCCCTCCGAGATTTTTTATTGTCTGCCCAAATTACACCAGCTGCTCCCTTCCCTCCGCTTCCCCTGCCTCTTGACGGGAGTCGTGAGACATACGGAAACAGCAAACCCTCATTTGACGTCGTGCGTCACTCTCACGAACCTCTCCAACACCCGAAAACAGCGGAGCAGCCCGCCTCTTCCATCCAAACCCAGTTGCCCAGTTTTCTTCCTCCGCCCCTACCTCCCTCCCGAAGCTATTTCTCCTTGAATCTGCCTTGGTGAAGGGTCTTTCGCCAGAGTCCAACCACGAACAGGATTGCTATACTCGCATCAGATTTCAGCAATAAGCAACAATCCGTCATACTTCCTGCATTCGCTCGACCTGCGCTCTTCAAAACCTCGCATTTCATCGCCACTCCGTTAGACCAAGGATCAGAGCAATAAATATCCGCACCGCGCCTCGGAACCATAGGATCGCGTCACAGCAGAAGATGGACGCGTCATCGGTGCTCAACCCGTGGAGCCAACAGGCCGTATGCAACCTCACGCGCCTGGCTCGCAGCAGCGGCCGCAACCACCGCGTGCGGATAAGCGCGCCGAGCGGCGGCGGAACCACGAGCGCGAGCAGCAGCCCGACGGACGGCGAGGCTGTGCTGAAAGCGATCGGCGGCGGGGCATCGCCGCAGCACGACGATTCGGGAGACATGTCCGAGCCAGGTGAGATACCTTGAGGGATCGAGTGTTGAGGGTTCGACTCTCTGAGGATTGAAGGGTTCGATGCGATGAGGAGTGTTTCAGCGAGCGTGGGTGTAATGCAGGTCGCGTGAAAGGATCGTGCTCTGGTTGGGGTTGCGGAGACCACAAGGATTTGTTTTTTTCGTATTTCGCACGTTGTGGTAACTCGAAATATGAATTAAACTTATCGTTTCTCGTGTTCTTAACTCTCGCTTCCTCTTTCTTCCTGCGCTTTCTCCTACAGAAGTGACGTCCCCTCCTCGACGTCGCACTCGCGACCAAGCCTTCGACACAGCGTCGGAATCCTCCGAGCCGTCGATGTCGCCTCGGGAGCCGCCCTCCTCCCCGTCCCGCACCTCCTCCTCCTCGATTCTCTTCCTCGGCCCGCCGTCCTCTGCCGTCCCGCAGACCCCCAACGTCATGATTCCGCCGGCCACGGAATGCCCGTACGCGCCGCGGAAGATGCGCAAGCTGGGCGGCGGCCGGACGGCGCTGATGATGCGATCGGAGGGTATTCGCCGCCTGATGCGCGCGATCACCTTTGAGTAAATGCGGTTATTGCGACTGGCCGCGCGATAACCTTCGAGGAATGTAAAGCTGCGCGACACCGAACGGCGTCCCTGAGTGAACGCGGCTATTTCTACTCGACGCGCGGGCAGGCGGACCCTCGCGAAATCTCCAATTAACTCTTTCTGACGGATTTCTGACACGACCTAACAGGCGATTCGGTAAAGATTGCGGTTCTCTGCGGCAGTGGCGGAAGCCATGGCGCATCCGGGTGGTTCACAGTACAGCTTCCTCCTCTTCCTGCGCCATACTCTCTCTTGCTGACTCTTCCACGCTCAATGTATGGGTGTTGCTGGCCTTGGTGCTGACGCTGACGCCGCAAACTGCATTGCATCTGCAGTCGCATCGTTGTTGCGGATCTCGTTTCGTCACCACTATCCCTAACTTCGCCCCAGGTCTGCATTCCATTGATGCGGCTAATCTCCTCATTTTTAACAGCACCACTTCAACAACTCTTTCCCTTGACAGAATGATCGCCTCTTCTGTGTACACGATCAGCCTCTCTTCTGTGCAGACGGAATGGCTCCTATGCTGCTTTCAGGGCATATACTCCTTTGCACCTTTTTATTTATTTCCCATTTCCTTGCTTTTTGTACACTTCTGCCCAGCTTTGTCAGCTTTCACTTAGCTGTGGATGTGGCTTTTGCTGTGGCATGATTATCATACTACGAAGCCTCAAAGGAATTTGTTGGCTTCTTGAGATACTCTTGCTTAGTGGTTGTTCTCTTGTTATGGTTTTGTTTGACAGAATTGGTGTAACATCAGTAGATCAAGGTGAAGGGTTCAGAAAATGTCAGCTTACATTCTAAGAGCACACTACTAACAAGGACGAAAGCGCCAAGATCGCGTTGCAACACGTCTCTGCCTCTCAAGCATCCCACGAAACACGCAACCTAAACCGACCAACACGCAGGCTGAGGCTCGCGGAGCTGACCTAAATCGTACACCCTATTCTCGATAATTTTACACCCCCTCATCCTGAACCGCGATTTTTTTTGCCCGAGAGGGTGTGAAAATAAAGGGGCATATTCTCCCCGATAATTTCACTCTCGAGGCGCGGTAAAGCTGTGCTGGCAGGGAATGAAAATTACTTGAATGACCCTCCTCAGTGTTGACGATCTTGGACAATATTTCTGTCCAATGAAAAGTAGTCACGTCAGGATTGTGTTTATCGTAATCCTGACCACAAATTCGAATTTGAGTGTCCACACCCAAAATCGAAAACCTAATCACAAATGGGTTGAAAATTCGACACATGCGCATGGTTTGGAAGTAACATGCCTTTGTAGCAGATGCAGTCCCAAATTTCCAACCCAAAGCCGTGCAACGAAAACTGACACCTTGTGATGACCCGAAAGAATCCCTAATCTCCACCATATCTCTGGGCTGCTGACAGTATAAATAGCGGTCATTTCTGCAATTGTAAGCTCAATGATCCTTCACGGTTCGCCAGCTCGGCAGCCCAAAGCCCCTGCTGGTGATCCTGAGTCAGGGTATAAAATTAGAGGCTGTTTAATTATCGAAAATAGGGTGTACATGCAAAGGTGTGTGAAGGCGTGAAAGCAGCAGGTGTGATCGTGTGTCTGGGCTGGGCTCGTCCAATCCGAAACTTTGTCGTTTTGGTGCTGCAGAGAACCCTGAACCCGAACCCCCAAATCTGGGTTGACCTTCAGTTTCCTTGCCAGCTACAGAGGTTGACTTCCTCGATTTCGCTCGTGGTTGTAGATTTCCTCCAACCTCGCTATAGGATTTCCTCCAACCTCCAACCTTACTGAAAAGAGACGCGCTACACCCAGAGAGTCCCAAGGAGAGTGAAACATCACATTTACCAAATGTGTTGTGTTGAACTATGTCATCATTACCATTTTACCCACTCATGGTGAGCTCTACTAGTAAGATGTTGGCATACAATACTTGCAATAAGAGAACACTCCGAATGCAAATCTCGCACACATGGTGATGTCAACCTGAGCTTTCATTTCATTGTCTCTTCATGCTACTAACAGCTTGAGGGCAGTAACAGAAGTGGTAACAATCCTCCACCATCTCTGTGATCCAATCCACGTAATCGTCCCATTTACACTCCCCTGTTGTAGTTGCAAATTCTTCGGTAGCATCCCTTAGTGTGCACAATGAGATCTCCTCATAAGGTGATGAGGAGTCCCCTGGTTGCTCACCCCCACTCTGCTTCTCAGCAGCGGCAGGCTCGGCAGCAATAGGCTCGGCAACAATAGGCTGGGCAGTGGTGGGCTCTGCAGTATTAGGCTTTCCAGCAAGAGGCGCAGCCGCAACAGGACATGTTGCAATAGGTTCTGCAGTGATATGCTCTGGAGCAGTAGTCTCTGTATTCACGGGGGCGATAGGTTCAGCAGCGATGGGCTCGTCAGCATTCGGCTCGGCACTGACAACATTTGCATGATTAAAAGGCGGTTCGGGTGTGCTAGGCCCAGCAGCTCTAGGCTCTCCTGAGACAAGCCGTGCCTTGGAACACATCAATCGTACAAAACTCCCTGTCAGCTTAGACTCTCCCTCTCCTTCACTTCCCGCCCTGCGCGGCTGGATCCCTGCTCTCATAGCCAGCCCGACGGCCCTACTACCCGGCTGCCACACGCCTTGGCTCCCCCCCTTTACAATCACGGACTCCTGCATGGTGTCGGCTTCCGCACTCTTTCGCTGCAGTTCTGCTTGAGCCCCCTTATTTACAATCACGGACACCTGCATGATGTCGGCTTCTGGTATAGGCTCCAGCACCACCCGCCCCGCCAAGTTCCGCCTGCTCATCGTTCCCAGCATCCCCTGCCACGCGTCTGCTGATTCTTGAGAGCTCTCGAAAACCATCATATGCCATGCATCTGCTGCTTCCGCCATGATTATCACTGCTGGCGTTGCTCGGGCGATTTTCCATCCTTGTTCCGAGTCCTCCCCACCCGCCCCGTTCTCTTGCCCCCCGCCAGAACGACTGCTCATTTCTTGGCTATCACAGCTAGTGCTATTGATAGGCTCGTCTACGTGTCCGAAGGTACTACTAGTATCGCTCCCGCTTGTTGCATCTGACTCATCATGACTCCGCATGCTGCCCAAATCTCCGCATTCCATTTCTGATTCAGCGGTAGATAGTAGGGGAGGAATAGCCGCGGAAGCTGATGGCGGGGCCGAAGCCGCGGAGGTTGATGGGGGGACGGCTGCGCGCAATTCCTGCTGTAGGCGTAGCAGCCGCTTCCGTCGGCGCGCTAGCGTCTCGGCGGACACAAGCGCCGCGTCAGACCACGGGCCGAACCGCACGACGATGCGCGCGACGCCGGCTGCTCCGGCGGTGGGGAGTAGCGAAGCGAGGCGCGAGTCGGCAGCCGCAGCGCATAAGGCGGCGCTTGAGAATCGGTTCAACGGGGATGCGATCGCGAACGGTGCGACGCAGGCGAACAGGCTCGACGAAGAGCTAGTGGCGAAAGGGCTGTTACCATCATTACTCGGTATTATCTCCGCTGAAGGATCGCGGGGCACTATTAGTTTCGTTGCTGGATGTATGAACGCCGCCGCCGCACCGCTTTCGGCGGTCGGCGGCCGAAAGCAGGGTAATCCCTCCAGAGCTTCGATTCGTTTTTGGGACCGCGACTTAAGGACGGGGGAGGGAACGCAGGTGCAATAGGCCGACTTGGGATTTTTGGCTTCGGAACGTTCCGAGTTGGCCGGACTGGGCGATGCCATCGCGTGCGTGAAGTTGGGGTCATCATCATCCCACTTTTCGGAGTCGTGAGCGCCCGTGAATGGTGATAGACAAACAAAGGACGCGATTTTCGAGGAATGAATGCCACAGCTAGAGCAACGAAACATCGCGTGCGTGTCCTTAGCAAAGAGTAGTTTTTTCTTTTTTCTACATGCTTCACGATCTATCTAATATGTGGAGGGGAAGCTATTTGAGTGGCTAGTGAGGTTTGAAATCGAAAAAAACTACAGATTGATAGCAAAGAGCGTCTCTTTGTGTGTTGTTGCCCTCCCCAACCAATGTGAATGAACGGGCTTGGCGAGGACATTGTAGGTTACTGAGGAACTTCGTTGGCTGAGTACAGAGTGAAGCGAACGAGTTCGCGACAACTTAGTGGCTTTGCGAGGGGTTTCGTTAGCTGGAGACAGAACGAGGGGATCATTGGGCTTGGCGAGAACCGGGCGAACTGTTCAATTCTGTTGAAGATTCTCCCAAGATGTGTTGGTCATTGTTGGTTGTTGGTGACGGGAGTTGCGGCAGGGTTTCTGCTTTGTGGCGAAGTGTGGCACCTCATTTCGACAGAGTTGCTGCTGGCGTAATCGCAGCCGTTGGATCATGACATGATGAATCTGGTCGAGACAGTAGGGGTGCCAATGTCACTGTTCGTAAGACCAGCAGAGTTTGATTGGTGGCGTTCCGTGGTGAGCACGCACTTCGTGCGATTCGGCACGTCAAGAAGAGTGCGACTGGAAAGTTTAGATCCAATACGGTTCCGCATAGACATACTAAAATCGCACGATCGATCGCCGCCTGGAGGCACATCGATTGCGTGAGCCACAGCTGACAAGACCAACACATATTAGAACAACGCACATATTAGAACAACGCAACAAATTTTCGTTCTTACCTCCAATTCGAGAATGCTGGAACCTCCAAGGCCGCCATGGCCGTTGATGCTCAGCCTGGAACTCATCGCGCGTGAAGCCTACGTATCAGCTGGCTTTAAAGACAACAGTTTTAAACTCGCCTTGTTACGACGAAGAGATTGGTACAACCTAGGTGTTCATCTGACGAACATTGTATCGAACTCCAACTCTAACCTATTGTTATCTCAGCTAACAAAGCTCAAGGCTCTCATACTCAGCACGTTAAGTCCAAGGTGTTGGAGGTTGCGTGGGGCTAGGTTTTGCCCCCAACCACCGAACGGTGCTGCTTTTTGGTTCTCACCTTCGAGTGAGTTGCAGGTTTGCGTGGGGTTGAGGATTGACTTCGGAAGACCCATTCGATTCGGTGCCACATGGCAGCACCAGGAACATTCGAGACCCAAGGAGAATTCGGATCGGTGAAATTCGAGAGTCGAATTTCACCCTTTCGATGTTACTCGAACATTCGCGATGTAAGGAAAATCCTTTTCCTTACTGAGCTCAACCACAGCGCGTGCGCCCTCGGACTTCGGAAGGCTATGCTCGGCCTAACTTTTCGGTCCCGAACCACTCTAGCGCAACCAAACCTAAATGCGGGGCTGTTCCGTGACTTTCGTCACCCGAGTCGCCCCAACCTAGTTGCGAGGTTCTCGGCTAGCGTAATTGTGCCTATAAAGTGCCGTAGCCTTTCATTTGTATTCGGACTCTTGAGTCACGTCCTGTTATTGAATTCCGCGCTACTACTCTGATTCGATACATAACAGCTGGTATCAGAGCTACTTTCCTGCCCGCTTAGTCTTCCGTAGGCGAGTCCGTTTATATCGGGCGAGGACCTGACAGAATAGAAGGTTGGCCTGCGGTCGGTAGGTGAGCTCAATTAAAGCTCCTACGACTAGAAGCGTGTGCACCTTCAGATCTGTTAGGTGAAACAGTTCCAGCATGACGAGTGAGCTGGAATCCTCTGCCCGCCGTAGTGTTAGGAACGTGACACAGGAGGAGTTTGACGAGTTGCAGACGAGGGCGGCCACGGTGACGACGCTGTTGGAGGTTGCGTGGGGCTAGGTTTTGCCCCCAACCACCGAACGGTGTTGCTTTTTGGTTCTCACCTTCGAGTGAGTTGCAGGTTTGCGTGGGGTTGAGGATTGACTTCGGAAGACCCATTCGATTCGGTGCCACATGGCAGCACCAGGAACATTCGAGACCCAAGGAGAATTCGGATCGGTGAAATTCGAGAGTCGAATTTCACCCTTTCGATGTTACTCGAACATTCGCGAGTGTAGCGGTTCGAGGTTACTTGTGCGATTCGATCTTGTTTGCATGCTATAAATATGTTTTCTTTGTATTGCATGCCATCATAGTGAAACTCAAGTTCTTTGTACAAGGTACATTCGAACACAAATTCCAGAGAGCTCCTATCCTTCAATCAAAGAGCACTACCTAGCACATAAACGGCGATATCTCGCTCGATACTCAGGCGAACGAGGTGATCTACGGCCCGTTGGAAAGCTAGCAGAGTACTCTACTGTTTAGAACAATTCTCAGTTCCTGCAAAGTAGAGGAGAGTCCTCTACAACAGTGGTATCAGAGCTGGTCGGAGGAGTCTACGCGCGCGACAAGGAGCACGCATGATGACTTCAAGCGAGGCCTCCCGCACTTCCTTGGATGGTGTCGTTGTAAATTCCGGCGAACCCTGGGCAACCGCGACGATGTTCGACACGTCGGCGGTACCGATTTTCACGGGACAAAACTACTCCGCGTGGAAGTTTAAGTTCCAAGTGCTCATGATGGAGCGGGGACTTTGGGGTTTCTTCGATGGAACGGAGAAGAAGCCGGACGATGAGAGCGGCATCGCGGCATGGAAGAAGAAGGACCAAAAGGCGTTCGCTACGTTGATTTCGCGCATCGGCATCAATCTCGTGAGCTCGGTGCGCATGTGCATCAAGCTCGAAGCGTCGGCGCATGAAGCGTGGGAGCGGCTCGAGACCATCCACGTGAACAAGACTCTCCACGGCAAGATCCTAGCCCGGAATGCGTTCTACACGGTGAAGATGCGCGCGGGCGAATCGATGCACGAGTATGCGACTCGTGTGGAGGAACTCGGGGAAACGTTCATGGACCTCGGTGGAACGGTCACGGAGGAGGATTGGATTTTGACCTTGCTATGCGGCCTTCCGGAAGAGTGGTCGACGGTGATTACGACACTCGATAGCGTGCAAGACACTTGGACGAAGGAAATGGTGGTCGGTCGGCTTCTCCATGAAGAATCGCGTCGCCGACAATTCGCTAATGAGAGCGTGGAGACCGCCATGTTCTCCGGAGGGAGTTCCGGAGGAAAGTCCAAGTGGAGCAAGGGTGCGACGAAGAAGTCGTACGGTGGAAGCGATCGCGGCAAGGGAAACGCATCGAATGGCGCGAGCAAGTGCCACTATTGTGGCAAAGCGGGACACTTTTGGCGAGAGTGTCGGAAGCGGCCGAGCGATTGGACTCCATCGAAGGCGCGGAACCATGAGGGCAACGCGCACACGACATCTGGCGAGGCGGATGATTCAAGTGAGTCGATCGTGTTATTGGCCGGTGACGGGAACAACACACCAAGCAACGCGTGGTTCCTCGACACCGGCGCAACGCAACACATGACGCACTCAGCATCGTTCCTCACCAACGTTGGTGCACCACGAGACGTTAAGCGCGTCGTCTTCGGGAACAACAAGTCGCTACCCGTGGTCGGAGTCGGGAGTACGCGTCTCATCGTCGATAGCGGACCGGTGGACATCACGAACGTGCTTCACGTCCCGGGGTTGAAGGTGAATCTACTCTCCGTCACTCAACTCGCGAAGAAAGATGTGAAGTTCACCATCGATGGCGCGACGATGAACCTCTTTTGGAAGGGGAAGCAATTCGCACAAGGTGTCCTCAACGGAGAACTCTACGAACTCAAGACGTACTCGAGAGCGGCTTCATCCAACGTGGCGCAAGGCTCCAAGGCGACTCTCAAGGCGTGGCATAATCGGCTTGCGCACGCCAATTACGACTCGGTCAAGGAGTTGGCAAACAAAGGACTCGCGAAGGGAGTCGACGTGATCGCCGGCGACGACGAGAAGGGCGTGTGCGCGGCGTGTGTTGAAGGAAAAATGGCTCGCAAGCCATTCGGTAGCCGAACGTCACCCCTCGCTAAGGACCCGCTTGCACTTGTTCACATGGACGTGTGTGGACCGATGCGGCATGCATCAAAGGGAGGAGCGCGGTTCCTCTTGGTGATGCTCGACGACGCGACGCGGATGTGTTGGACCCGACTTTTGAAGGCTAAGGGAGATGTGGCCAAGGCGATTCAAGAGTGGGCGCTCGAAGTTTGCGACGATGACAAGAAGCGGATCAAGTGTATTCGCACCGATGGTGGTGGCGAATTCGTGAATGCGGAACTCGAGAAATGGATGAAGTGCAAGGGCATTAAACACGACGTCACAACACCCTACACACCCCAACAAAATGGAGCGGCGGAGCGGCTTAATCGCACGTTGGTGGAAGCCATTCGTTCTCTTCTTCAACACTCCAAGCTTGGGAAAGAGTGGTGGGGCGAGGCGAGTTCGCTAGCGGCGTGGATTCGCAACCGTTTGCCGACGAAGGTGCTCCCGGGAATGACTCCGTTCGAAGCATGGACCGGAACGAAGCCGAACCTATCCCGCCTTCGTACCTTTGGGTGCCTTTGCTACTACCATGTCCCGGATCCCCTTCGTCACAAATTGCAACCGACGGCTCGTGCGGCAATCTACTTGGGAATTGCGGCAAACGAGCGTGCGTGGCGAGTGTGGGACTTGGGTGAAAGGCGCGTCGTCACATCTCGAGACGTGGTCTTCGACGAGGACAAGTTTCCGTCGAAGGAACAACCAATGCCGCAACACACCGTCGTACTTCCCGCACGAGAGGAGGATGAGGCGGTGGAGGTTTCATCACAAGTGGACAATGAAGCCGAAAGTGGAGGGGGAGAGAACGAGGAGAGCGATGACGATGTCGTGGAGGTGCCACCAACCGAGGAGGCAACTCCCTCCGCACCTTCTTCCCTACCATTGGCGTTGACCCGTGGGCGTCGTACACCTCGCCCCAACACGAAGTTAGCGGACTACGCTACGGTAGCCGTTGGGGAGTTGGATGAGGAGCGTGCGGCATATTGCTTCGCAACCATGGGAGATGACCCTCGCACCCACGCGGAGGCTTTGGCTTCTCCGGATGCACCTCTATGGAAGCAAGCGATGGAGAAGGAGCTAGCATCGATCAAGGAGAACGATGTGTTCGAGCTCGTCGACCCGCCGAAGGGTGCCTACTTGGTGGGGTGCAAATGGGTGCTTAAGAAGAAGTTGGGAGCCGATGGGAGTGTCGAACGCTACAAGGCGAGGCTTGTAGCTCAAGGATACACTCAACGGGAGGGGGAGCACTATATCGAGACTTTCGCTCCCGTCGCTAAGGCTACAACTCTTCGGGTGTTGCTCGCGTTAGCGGCATCCCTCAACCTCGAGGTGGAGCAATTGGACGTTTGCACCGCCTTCCTCTACGGGCTTCTTATGGAAGAAGTCTACATGCGGCAACCCCCGGGGTACGATGACGGTAGCGGAAGGGTGTGGAAGCTCAAGCGTACCCTTTACGGCTTGAAGCAAAGTCCACGCGGATGGTACAAGCGCATCGACGACTTTCTTCTTCAACACGGCTTCGCGCGTAGCGAGTGCGATAGCGCTTTGTACGTGTTGAAGGAGGGGGAGAGGAAATTGGTGCTTTTACTCTACGTCGATGACTTACTCCTCTTCTCCGACTCCAAAGACCTCATTCGGGAGGTCAAGCAACGACTAGGAGCGGAGTTTGCTATGAGGGACTTGGGGCCGGTCACGTACTATCTTGGGATGCATGTCGACCGTGACCGAGCCAACGGGACCATCCACCTCCACCAAGAGAAGTATGTGAAAGGGGTAGTGGAGAGCTTCGGCATGGGCGATAGCAAACCGGTGGGAACACCACTAGCTACGGGGTTTTCTTGCCTCACGGGAGAGGAAGAATCCACCCTCGACGGAGCCGAAGGGAAGCGGTTTCATTCGCTAGTGGGCTCGCTCATGTATGCCGCCGTTTCTACTCGTCCCGACCTCGCATACGCCGCCGGGGTGCTTGGACGAGTCGTGAGCAACCCTCATACCGAGCATGTGCGCGCGGGAGGACGCGTTCTACGCTACCTCCAAGGCACACCTAACTTGGGGCTCGTGTATGAAGCCGGCCCGATTGAACTCAAGGGCTATGCCGACTCGGACTACGCGGGAGATCCGAGCACGCGCAAGAGTACCTCCGGGTATGTCTTCACCTTGCTTGGGGCGGCCGTGAGTTGGCAAAGCAAGAAGCAACCAACCGTGGCTCTAAGCTCAACGGAAGCGGAGTATATGGCACTCACTCAAGGTGCCATGGAGGCGATATGGCTACGACGTCTTCTAGCGGAGCTTGGGCATCCTCAAACGAACCCAACTCCTCTCTTTTGTGACAACCAAGCCACCATAAGCCTCTCTCACAACGCGGTCCTTCATGGACGAACCAAGCATATCGAAGTGAAGCATCACTTCATTCGTGAGGCGGTTGAGAAGGGTGAGGTCAAACTCACTTACATAAGCACCAAAGCTCAACCCGCGGACTTCCTCACTAAACCACTCCCTAAGGATTCATTCCGTGCATGCTGTGAGCGTGTTGGATTGAGCACCTAGTGGCTTGGGTGCAAGGGGGAGTGTTGGAGGTTGCGTGGGGCTAGGTTTTGCCCCCAACCACCGAACGGTGCTGCTTTTTGGTTCTCACCTTCGAGTGAGTTGCAGGTTTGCGTGGGGTTGAGGATTGACTTCGGAAGACCCATTCGATTCGGTGCCACATGGCAGCACCAGGAACATTCGAGACCCAAGGAGAATTCGGATCGGTGAAATTCGAGAGTCGAATTTCACCCTTTCGATGTTACTCGAACATTCGCGAGTGTAGCGGTTCGAGGTTACTTGTGCGATTCGATCTTGTTTGCATGCTATAAATATGTTTTCTTTGTATTGCATGCCATCATAGTGAAACTCAAGTTCTTTGTACAAGGTACATTCGAACACAAATTCCAGAGAGCTCCTATCCTTCAATCTAAGAGCACTACCTAGCACATAAACGGCGATATCTCGCTCGATACTCAGGCGAACGAGGTGATCTACGGCCCGTTGGAAAGCTAGCAGAGTACTCTACTGTTTAGAACAATTCTCAGTTCCTGCAAAGTAGAGGAGAGTCCTCTACAACACAAGGTTCCGCCTTATCTTGCATGACAACAAAGATCGCTATTATTGGCTTACGAGATTGTGGTTTCCACATCATGAATCTCACCTCAAGGTCCTTTCAACGACTGCTCAGCACCTGCATCAGGAGCAGTGGCTGGCTGTCTTCGTATTACTACTACTTAAGCAACCAGGGATCAGACAACCGGCATATCAGGCTTCTTGTGCCCTCCTCTCCTCTCTACTACCAGTCTTAAGTCATCATAGCACCATGCCACGTGTGCCAGCCAAGGGGAAGCATGCGGTGGAAGATCAGCCAGTTAAGGATACCCCAGTCTTAACCACGACCGTGACTAAGGCTCCGTTATCTGAAGGGACTGACGCTGCTGCATCTACTGAGACGTTGTTGCAGCCAGACTCCATCGCTGGCGACTCTGGCCTCTCGCCTGCAGAGAAGGCAACCACAACAGTGCATCAGCTACCTTCAGATGGTTTTCTGGAAGACGACTCAGATGAAGAACTCGACATTGACATTCAGCAGGAGGCTTCTGCACGCCTCCGCTACACGGCGATTCTACTGATACCTTTCATGATGAATAATGAGTTGGGGAGCATCATCAACACAGTGTGGGTTCTGCTTCGGAAAGTTTGGGCTCCGTCACTCACAGCTGCATAAGCAAAAAGTTGAGGTCCCAAGACGGTCCCCCCATTTTAACCTTCCCTAAAGACTTTTTAGGGGCTCTCGAAAATGTCCCACATCTGTCTACGGGCCCGAAAGAGAATTTCGGAAGAGTGTACAGTGGTTCCCGAAAACCTTCCGTCCTAAAACTGTTCCGCGAAGTCAACAAATTCGTTTTAAAAATGTCCGTCAATCTGAACCAGCTTGCTATGTCTTAGTCCACGTGAATGACTGTAGACCGAAAGGTCACGGGTTCGAATATTGATGTCAACAAATTTGGAACTGTCAGTAGATCTGCACTGTGGATGCCCGATTGATCCTGGAGAGGATTACAGGCGCGTTCGTCTGGGGGGTTATGGGCGCACTGACCCGCTACTGAAACAAGCCCTTTTATCCCAATGGTCTAGTGGTTGGGATTCTGACATGGTATCAGAGCGGTCTCGGGTTCGATTCCCGGTGTATGCACATGTAGGCCGTTGCCGCTGTGCTTAGTCCTGGGCCTCCCAGTGTGGGGGGGTGTCAGTAGATCTGCACTGTGGATGCCCGATTGATCCTGGAGAGGGTTACAGGCGCGTTCGTCTGGGGGGTTATGGGCGCACTGACCCGCTACTGAAACAAGCCCTTTTATCCCAATGGTCTAGTGGTTGGGATTCTGACAGGAACGTAAAGTGTTTCTATATAAATTTAGACTGCCTTGTGATATTTTGTTGATGCATATGATAAAATCTGACTTATGTTAATGGGTTTGCATTAATTCCGAGCGCGATAGATGGTGTGTTAATCTTCAACATTTTAATTACATTCGAAAATAATGCAGTGAAATGTAGTCCAGTTACCATACTTAACGTCGATAACTGTTATCGAATTAGCTTTTAGCAGGTGCGGTGCGAATTACAGGTAACTATTTTGAGACTCTCGCCAAATTCGTAAGTCAGACGCGCCCCCTCCCCAACCCCACAAACAATCGATCGAGGGGGAGGGGAGGCCAAATTTTCGCGATTTTCATAAGTCCTCCCCCACCCCCCCCCCTCCCCCCCGCCCGCCCCTCACAAACAATCGATCGAGGGGGAAGGGGAGGCGAAATTTGTTAACAGGAATGGAGTGTTGGCCCCGCCCTCGCTTGGGGAACGCCGACGACTTGGTCGGATGCACGGGAGTAGCAGCCGACTGTTCACAGTGGGATAGCTACTCGATAGGCTACGTCGAGCTGCAGCGGACCGCTGTGGTGTTGCTGTCGACCAAGGAGCTCGACAGCTGCAACTCACTGGTCTGTGCGACGGGTGTGCTGTCAGGGAGGTCGACGAAGCAGTCCGTCGACCTACAGTTCGACCGGGAGGTCGACAGAGCAGTTCTGGTCGACAGAAGGGGTCCGTCGACCAGGGGGTAGCTCGACGGGAGTTGTGGTCGACCAGGAACGCCAGGTGGTCGACCAGAGGGACCCAGTGGTCGACCGGAGGCACCTGGGGGTCGACCAGAGCACCAGGGGTCGACCAGGTCGACCGAGTAACCTTCTCGACGAGTTCTGCGAAGGCTCGCGAACGTCGTCAAGATCGCGATGGCGCAGGCGACTTCGGACTGGTATCCCGAAGTCGATGTGGCTCGTCAGGCGCAGACAACAGCCGATGGATGCCCAACGAGGCAAGTCGGGCCAATCGTCTGCGCACACCTGCGAGCGCGCGCACTGCTGTGTTCTACGGGGCACGCCGTCGACCTGCTTTGTTGGCAGGTCGCCCTTCTGCAGTGCTGGCGCGGCTCCTCTACGCAATGCTGGCAGGCGGTCGACCGAGCTGCGCTGGCGGTCGACCAGGCTAGTCGCAGGGTTGCTAGGTGCCTGATGTAGTCATTGTTGTCATTGCTTCTTGTATTGTTCTCGATTCTTAACTTTGCTAGTGGAAACTCTTGCCAATTTCTCCTGTGAATGTGCAAGCACTAAGGAACCAAGCAAAGCTACGATCACCTCTAGTAGTTCGTGCCAACCCTGTAGCCCATCTCACTACCGCTGTAGAGTGTATCTCCGCAAAATTCTCGCCAATTTCGTAGCCCCCCCTTCCCCCCCGCCCCTTCAGAAACAATCGATCGAGGGGGGAGGGGAGGCGAAATTCTCGCCAATTTCGTTAGTCCCCCCCTTCCCCCCCGCTCCTCACAAACAATCAATTGAGGGGGGATGGGAGGCGAAATTTGTGTGCCTCACAGATGACGCCAAATCAGCGTCACCTGGGAGGCAAAAAGCTTTCGCGCCACCTGTCATGCACACCGAATTGTCACCTGCCAGCTGATCACAAAAAACGCACACGTCATCACATGGAACAGATATAGGGTGCACCACAATCACTTGTCAACCACCTGTCACAGCACCTTCCTCATCTCTTGCACAACCAGATTACCGACGTGAAACCTTCCTAAAACCAACCTAACCTCATCAAAACCCATCTTGCTTCAAAACGTATTGCATTTAACTTGAGTCCACTCTTATTGCCCACTCTCATTCTCCTTTCAGTTAGACGTGTTCTATTCTTGTGTTTGCCAGTTTTGTTCCGTTGGTTCCTTCACCACTTGTAGATGTGTTTGCCCTCGATTTTCGCTATCCCGTATATGTTAAGCATCTGACAAGCCTTTAATGATTTCGATAATGATAGAAATATTTTGTATTCTTCTGCTAGAAATATTTTTCCCCAAAACATAAACACGTTTATATCTCTTAGTTACCATGTGAAGATAGTAGGTAAGTGATAGAAGCCATAGCTAGGACTAACCTAGCTAGGCAAGGACAGTTTAGAAAAGAGAGGAGGGGTTTGCACTAGCAAGCAAGGGGATACATATGTGAAACCCTAAGGGGTTATACTCGCTATAGAGTACCCCACTGCAGGCTAGAGAACAAATATAACATTCTGACACACCCCCATAGCCAAAGTGGGGTGTAATCAGCAGAGCAAGCAAAACAGAACAAGCTCAGGGTGGATCACAATGTCACCACATAGTCTGAGCACAAGTTCAAGCAGCAGTAGTATAAAGTTCACAGTTATAAGCAAAGCTAGAGGTAGTCACAACGGGCAAGTGAGGAGGAGGAGAGAGAGTGAGAGGAGAGGAGATAGGAGGCGACGGATGAAGCTGTAGACACACGGGCAACAGGAGGCAGACTGGCACAGCGGCTACCGGACGAAGTCCCCGGAATACAGGAGTAACTGGCCCCGCGGCTAAAGTAGCGGCAGACGAACAACGGACCCACGGGCGGCTGGCACAGCTGGCTACGACTGGGCTACCAGACGAAGTCCCCGGACTACAGGTGCTGCTAGCGACACAGCGGCAACCTCCATTCAGCTTCCCCAAGCTATCCTACTCCCCCTGGCACACACCCACTGCTACACCGCTAGCTCCACTCCCCCTTCACCCCCCCTTAGTATCACTCCACCGGCTCCAACACGTCCACCCCCCCCCTCAGCGGCATCTGCAGCACAAGGAGACGGAGGAGGAGGAGGAGCAGGGAGCAGTACAGAGTAAGGTCACCCCCATACCCCTCACCCCCAAACCCTAATTTAGGAGGATGGGGAGTATGAGGGGTGGGGCGGCCGTGAAAACACTGGGGGACAGCGGGGAGGGACGGGGCAGGGAGGAACGGGCCCACCACGGGCCTGGTAGGGACGCCCGAGCCGCGCGCATGCGGCCCGAGTCGCGCGCAGGCCTGGCGCAGTCCGTACGGGCCGCGCGCTGGCCTGGCGCCGCCCGTACGGGTCGTGCGCGGGCCTGGCGCAGCCCGTACGGGCCTGGGGCAGCCCGTACGGGCCACGCGCGGGCCTGGCGCAGCCCGTACGGGCCGCGCGCTGCCTGTACGGGCCGCGCACAGGCCACGACGGGCGACGGGGGGGTGAAGCGCGGGTCCCCGTCGCCCGTCGCAGCGTCTCCCGGGAGCAGCGCGCGACATGACGGGGTAGAAACCCGCCGCGCGCCTCGGGGCGCACGGCGGGAAGAGAAACGCCGCGCGCCTCGAGGCGCACGGCGGGCAGAAAACCGCCGTGCGCCTTGGGGCGCATGGCGGTAAGGGAAAGTAGCAGTTGCAGCGTAAGGATTGTGGTTAGGCACACAGGCCAGGAGCTTACTGCTCTGGTAACCATGTGAAGATAGTAGGTAAGTGATAGAAGCCATAGCTAGGACTAACCTAGCTAGGCAAGGAAAGTTTAGAAAAGAGAGGAGGGGTTTGCACTAGCAAGCAAGGGGATACATATGTGAAACCCTAAGGGGTTATACTCGCTATAGAGTACCCCACTGCAGGCTAGAGAACAAATATAACATTCTGACATACCACCGTTGAAACTCCGCTATAATAATGTAGTAGGTTCTGTTGTACGATCCTTGATGTATCTCACTATTTTTGTTGCTCATATTCATGGCTACATGATGCTATGAGTGTCTCCTCCCATTGGTCATGTTATGATGTTCTTATCATGCACCATAGTTCATTTTTTTTTTATGTACATCTTTGTTGCAGTGGATGATGATTTCACCGTGGACCAGGTTTTCTTTTTCAGTCAGGCATCATTGAAGGTACGTATGCAAAAGTTCAGCATATGATGTGTCGTTCGT